CGAGAGCGACGTTTGCCGACCGTTCCCTTTCGTCATGGGAGCACTGGTCGCCAGTTGTGAAGGGGGACTTACGAACTTTACTGTGTAGTCGATGATTTGCCACGGAGACGAGGATCGCGACCCAACGTACTGCCGAGGAACAGCGCACGATACACGGAGAGTTAAGGCTTACTAGCTAAAACTGAACCGAGATCACACGCAAATATCTTCCGACACGAGCACCGTTCATGCGTCGTAATATCCCCGAGGAGATACCGCCCGCATTCCGAGTTACCAACACTCGGCGCACCGCGCCAGGACCCACCGAGCTGCCTTACAACACGAGCCGTTGCACTGCAGGCGAGTCTGGCCGCCTTCACATTACTAGGCAGCCCGGGCGATACGCTGGATAGTTAGCCTGTCACAACAAATACCCACTCGTAAAGAAACCATATTATTTCTTAAACTATTCGGCCGATCTTCATGAAATTTTGCATGTACCTCCGTGATAGATTGCTCGTTTGTCACAAATAATCAGTTTTGTCATTGCACTCTTATTTTGGGAGTGAGGGTGATAATAAGGAGAAAAAATGTAATTTCCTTCATCAAATCACATACTAAATACTTCATATTTCTTACACTATTCAGCAGAACCCCATGAAACGTCACAAGCAGGCCCATGTCACTTGTATCTAGCTTTTCATAAGCATTTAATATTATTTGAACTTTTTTTACCCGAACAGCAGGCTACTTTTCACACAAAAATAGCCAGTCAAAAAACACAGTACACATAGTATTGTTACCAAATCTTAATAAACTTAACTATTTGATGTAACATAACGCACTTCATATCAGATGAACCACTGTAACTATTGTAGCATATATTTCACATGGGAACAAGCCCAGGTCGTCGAGTCTAACCCTTACATATATGTGAAATGTTGAACAAAGCTCACCGGCTGGCGCAGTAACACTACGGGCTATACAGAGAACATGAACAGAGACATATGACAATAAAGCCAAGCAGTGACTGCTGAACGGTATATATCGCGGGATATAAATCATTCTTACTCAAAAGAAAGAATTACAGATAGTGATAGTCACTGTAAATGTAATAACTAGTCACAACGAATCAAATATGATTGCAACGCGATTCAGTTAGGCGTCATACATCTAACATAAAGCTGAAGTGTAGCGCATTAGTAAACATACTTATTATGCAATGTGAAGTACTGACACGAAAAATGAGACATTGATTACCTAACAAAATGTACAATGATACGATATTAGCCTATGGAGGCATAGAAATGAACACCTTACATGCGAATCTGGTAGTATCTCAATCAGTTACATAACAATTCTAAGACAGAAAGAGATGTACATGAAAATACTGCAAAGTATTTCCTATATGCATGCTATTAAGGATGAAGAACGCACGCACACACACACACACACACACACACACACACACGCACGCACGCACGCACGCACGCACGCACGCACGCACGCACACACACACACACACATATGTGGCAGTTACATATTTTGACTATTTCTTGTATTTTACCTTTTAAGTATAATTCATGTACATAATTAAATGCAGTTGTGGTCATTTTATTTTATTGCTCAGCCTACTTTAAACACTAAACACTAAACTATCAGTCACGGCATTCTTACTAAGCATGCTTACTGCATGGTTTGTTTGTGAATGTCACACCCTGTGAACTAACACAATAGCCCCAGCCCTCTCCCTACTCAAGCCTTTTGTCTATATGGCCAGCTTGGGTACTCAGCCATGCTGTATGCTGGACACCTAAGGACTGTGGTCACTCCACATATACCTCTTCACGGATAAAGATAAAGATAGATATATATAGATATATATATATATATATATATATATATAGATATATATATATATTCAGGTGTTTTTTTCACAAGGATCGTTTTTGGGGAACCTTAGATGAAATTCCAAGACGAGTTTTGCACTACTGTGCAGATACTTAGCGCGGCATCGTCCCCAGGTGTGATATCAACCCAGGCCCACACACCTGGGTGGTTTTTCTATAAAATTACATTCACAATTTCTGCTAATAAATATTGGCCATTGACGAACACCGTAGTGTCTGTGGTCTGTGGGCATCGGACCCAGTCCTGCTACACATACAAACAACGCGTCAAACAACAATAACAATAAAAATGGATAATTTCACAAACTTTAAAATGCTGTTTCATACGCATTTGCGGCTTGTGTACATACACTTCTTGACATATTAATTTAAAAATTATATGCATGATATGAATCCTATTATGGCCCTCTTATAGCGAAATCTACCTCTTACCACAGCTAGAGCTCAAATCATAACCGTAACCCCAGCCCTCTAACCCTAGCCCTAACCCTAACCCTAGCCCTAACCCTAGCCCTAACCCTAACCCTAGCCCTAACCCTAACCCTAGCGCTAACCCCCTAACCCTAGCCCTAACCCTAACCCTAACCCTAGCCCGAACCCTAACCCTAGCG